AAAACTTATCAAATACATATAAGGTTATTCAAATAAGAAAAGAAATGGTCTACTTGTAAATTTTATGTCTATATCTCTCATGTCACATATATATAAACTGTTCACATTTCATATTTGAGATACTCTAATAATATCAAATATTCAAGAAATTGTATCAATCCAGGATCTAAAAAATAGATAAATTATCAATTCAGAATTCTAAAGATAAATGTGTCACAAGCCTCAAATCATTGAAAACTATAAATTCAAGACCTAAAATTAACATACCATTCATATACTCATATGTAGTTTGAGAAAAGCTTTCCATATGCGTACGTAGTACAATATTGTAAGCATAGTAAATTATTACCTTAACTAGGAAAGGAAAACGGTGCTCTCGAATTGACACCATTTTGACCTGCCCCAAAGATCCACCTTTAACAATCTCCGCCAACTTGGCCACGGGCGGCATGTACCTATACTCCAGCCCCACTTGGACCAGCATCTCCGGTTTCAACCGGCCGGCCACCTCCATCACCTCTTTACAGTGCTCAACCGAAGTGCAGAGAGGTTTCTCAACCAGAACATGATAAGGTTTGGGATGGTTCAAAATGTCCATTAGAATCTCATGGTGAGTCATGTTTGGTGTCGAGACTATCAGTACGTCGCATAGTCCGCTGTCCAGCAGAGGCTTATGCCCTGAAAATATCTTTGGCCACATATCATTGCCAAACCATCCAAACTATTAGTAATTTAATCATGATTATGTCTATTGGAAACTAAAACTTAATCAGTTAATTAAGTGTCTATTCAAGGAATGTGTTTTTCTATACTTTTTTGCTGTTTCGTGATTTTGTTCATGTCATTACGCCAATTTGAATTGCAATGAGATGAATATACGTAGTACATAGTATATATATAATAACCTCTAGTGCGGATTCGAGTTCAATTTTTACTAGTTTGGTTCTCGTACTATCACGAAAACATCAATTAGATTCTCATACTTCAATTGCGTCAATTATATATGCCATGCCAGCAGGTCACCCGATAACAGAGTGCACACGTGGACCCCGGTCCACGTGTGCATCACATCATCGCGAAATGACTGACATGGCTTCCATGTGCACCACATCAGCAATTTAAAATCATTGTTGACTGGGCTGTCGCATGTGTATCGCGGCAGCAAGTGACTTGCTGATGTGATGGGCAATATGTTAAAGGACTAAACTGAACGTTTTTTCAAAGTTTGTGGATTTGTTTGATTTTTAAAAGTACGAGAACTGAATTGGCGTTTTCGTGATAATACAAGAACCAAATCGACAGTTTTCCCTATATTAAATTAATAATCCGGATTTGATAAATATGAATATTACTTTTGTAGTGTTTACCTCTGAATAGGATTAACATTATCTTTGTACCCCAATTTAATTGATTAATTAATACTCCATGTAACTAATCGCCCCTAATTCTCTTGCATAACCAGTCAATGTAATTAGAATGTTTTCTTTTGAATTGAAATTTGATAGTCTATTCTTGTCCGATCTGATAAATGTATGATCTTTCTGTATTTTATAACTATGGAAGCTTGGTCTGAGATTGAAAAACAGTCACACAAAAAACATCCTTAGAGAGTGTTTGCAACCGCTTCTGTTAAAAAAAAAAGCACTTTTGGAGATGTAAGAAAAAAGTGATAAGTAATAAAAGTTGATAGTGTTTGGTAAAATAAGTGTTTTTTGTGTAATAGAAAAGGGAAAAGCACTTTTCACACGCAAGCCGAGAAAAAGTACAAATTGGTAGTGTTTGATAAATAAGTGTTTTTTTAAGACAAAAGTTGAAAAGTGCTTTTTTAAGCTGTTGCAAACACTCCCTTAATCCGTCTATTGGTGGCGAGAGCTCGGCAGCAGCTCGGCACTGGCGTATAGCATCAGAATTCTGACAGATCAGTGACAAACTGACAAAAAATTTCGACGACCTGCACCAGTAGTCTGCAGTCCCACGACGTGGGGGAATTCTCGAGCATTCCAAAAAGTGTACCGTGTAAACCTTATAAGTGCAATATTTCAGATGAACACTTCTGAACTAATTAAGCTGGCTCCCCAAAAAATTGTACAGAGTAATGTACATGTACATAATTACAAATATATGGAGTATAAACTATAAACAAAACGCTCACGTCATAATTTTTGAGGCTATTTAATTTGTAGATATATACCTGAATAGGCCATTGAAAAGAAAGTGAGAGGTGGTAGGCTTGTTGTTGGGAAGGAATGTGTGGATCGGCGATGCATACAACTTCCACGCCTTCGTCCCGGAGATGATAAAGGTTGATGAGATGCTCCCTTCCCATCATCCCCACTCCGATTATCCCGTATTTAATTACCGCTTTCTCTTCCGCCGCCATTATTGATCACTTTATCAAAAAAATGGTCGATATATTTCAAGCTAAGCGCGATAAAAAGGGACTCGATCGGAGTACATATATATATGCTCGCATGTAATTCTTTGTACTCCCTCTGTCCCTAAAAGAAGTTCCATTTCACTATTCCTTGGTCAACTTAAATCACTCTTAATCTCTTACTTTTTATATCAAAATTTTATAAAAGTTGAATTATTTTTTGCAGACTTTGTAGCGGGTTTAATGTAGTTTCTGAATATGTAAATTTTATTTACTAAAAATAATCCGAGTTTTCACAGGCATCATTTAACTTTATCGTCAGTCAACCTCGTAATCAGCAATTGGAACAACATTTAGGGACGGAGGGAGTACTATGTAGGAAATATCCTCCCAAAATAATCCCACATTTGTAAAATAATTATTTTGTAAAGGTAAGATTATTATAAGCAATCTGGTCAAATGTAAGATTATTATTGTCAGTTTTTCCTTCTTTTTATGGTACGTTCAGGTTGATTGACTGTTTCTAGCTAGTTATTTTGTTTTTTTATTGTCTATTTACTTTGTTAATTCAAATTAACAAAGTTAAATCCTCAAATGTTTTAATTGGATTGAAATTTTATGATCTAATCGGATAATTATGATTTGGTTTTGTCTGAGACTGAAAGCAATATAATTAAGTAAAAAAAAATCCCAAGACCCTCAACTTTAGTTCAAAAGTATAAGAGAAGTCATTAAGGATTCGGTCAAGCCAATGATGATAAACCTTATACTTGCACGTACTTACTAGAGGTTAGAGTGTTCAAAGCAACATGTAAATAAGAACTATGACATCTACACGATCACGGTGAGTTTCGAACTTTCGATCATTATTTAATCTTCGAAGGAAAAATAAGATTCATTTAATTCCTGTTTTCGAATAAAAATAATTAGTCTTATCCCAAAAAATCCATACTTTGCACTCATTGAAATTGAAAGCAATTTCGTCTATCTCAATTCATTCACACAAATATTTGGATAAATTAGATTAATTAAAGAATTATATACATTTATATACTCCTTAATTTCTTTTGACCAACTTGGGGTCGATCGGACTGTGTTTGGATTGGCCCCCTTATCCATCTACCTGTGATGGCAAAGGACCATTTAAATTCCTAAGCTATTTTTGCACATTATTTTAATTTGATTGTTGCAATAATGCTTGTTGACGAATGTTCTGTTAGGTACATTGCACTTGGACATTTTAGCAACTTTAATATTTCCCATAAACTCGTCTGTATTGTAAACTTTAACGAGTGGAGCCGGAAGAAAGGGATTATTCATACGGCATATCCAATCTTTGGATATACTCCGCAAAAGATGCCTTTAGTATTATTTTTGTTTTCACAATAATTTTTTTGAAAGCTTTGTTTTCATAATATTTTTTTTTCTTAGCACAATAATAGAACTTTTAAATCATTATTTCCTAGCATGGTGCATCCAATATAAATGCACAATTTTTAAATGTGTGGTTAATTAAAATTGGCGGAGGAACTAATATTTAGAAAAGGTTAAAATTGGCAGACGAAATAATATTTGAAAACCATAAATTCAGTATTTTAAATAAAAGGTGATATTTACCAAAAAAATAGTGATGCTCCGATCCGTAGTATTTTTGAGACAATTAAACAACAAAAGGGTGGTAATATTTTGTATGACTGTATTTCTTCACTAAAAAAAATTGTATGACTGTATAGTTATGAATTGTATGGTTTGAGTTACTACTTACTAATATAAAGAGAAAATTGTCGAGAATGAGACTCTTTCATTAACTTTTGATATAAATAGGACCTACTTAAAATTTGTTCATCCGTATATCTTAATTAATCCTGTTTTAGGAAACTCAAATTTAACTTACCTAAAATACCCTTGATTGTTTAAGACGCATAATAGCCTTCCCCTTTTAATAGCCTTCCGCTTTTATTCCTTCTGCTAACGACTTAACCGCCTACTGCTTCGTCCATGGAAGGAAACATGATCCTTCGCTCGATCTTCTTCAAACTTCGCTCTAGAGTTTCGCTGAGTAATTTGCATCACTAATTCGAACTCAATCTCCATCAATTGCGATTCAGTATCTCTATTCCGAGAGGAGTTAGCTGCAAACTACCGATTGAGCTTCATCACGATTTGTGCCCCGTTTCTTCTGCGATTTTGTCTTGTAAGTTTGTATGTATTGTGTTCTGATTACGATTTTGTGTTCGTTTTTTCAGAATTACATTGTTTATGAATTTCTTCATTTAGTTATCTTCATACTCTGAAATTATATTCCTATGGTTTATTGTGTACAACACTTCGAGATTATTTGGACGTTTTATCAGTTCTGTGTACTGCACTTAGACATTCTCCTGCATCAATAGATTTGAAGTTCATAGTACATAAGTTTGTGTATTAGTGTTCTGTCTATTGTTCGTTAAATCTGACTATTACTATTTTTGTTTCTGCGTCTTTTCTTAGTTTTTTTCATTTATTTTTTCATACATGACTACATCATATATTTATCTGTTTTGTATTCACAATTACTTATTCACATCAATATATTATGTAATGAGTTCAATATGATATTTGAATTGATTTATCTGTTTTTACTCAGATCAAAACAACATGTTGATTATGCTAAAGGTGGATGGAAGTTGGGATGAATCCTATGTTTTCTGTAATAAACGAACTTGTGGTCTCATAGTTCCAGATGAGACATTATATGTTCGTTTTATTGCTTTGGTGTATTCATGCATTGGTTCATTTGCTATGAATGAAAAGTTGAAGATCAGTTATTTGGTTGAAGAATGTCCTCCCCCAGTGGTTGTTAATGATGATTACAGTTTGTGCTTTTATTTGGCTCTTAAAAAATCACAACCTGATTATGCCAAGTATCCTTTGTGTGTTGAGTTGTTTCCACTCTCTGTGTCTACTGCTTCCCACTTCTCTTCACAACTTCCTGCATTTGATTTAAATGTGGCTGCAAATGGTGAATTTGATGATCTTGAAGACACTTCTATCATGCATCATCACACATTTCACATTTCTTCTCCTCAAAATGAAGATATGTCTTTGGACATGTATGCTACGAATGCTGATATTTCAGTTCAGTCTGATATTTCTGGTTCTAGCAATGCAGTTTCTTCACCTACATCTTCAGGCAGTGAAGATCTTGCTGTTAATGAACACTTTGATTTAGACTATTTTCATGATTTTCAAGATATTCAAGTAATCTGTCACTTTCATCCTACTCGTATTGCTAAAGATGCTATCTACCAAGATAAGAAATCATTAGTCCATCATTTGAAGATGTATGCCATTTCAAATCTTTTCCAATATCAAACAAAGACATCAACTAGAAAAGTCTTGCATGTTGTTTGTGTTGATGATGAGAATTGTGATTGGGCTGTACGTGCAGTGAGGTTGAGTGGATCTCAAATGTTTGAAGTAAAAAGGTAATTTAATGAGAATTGTTTGTGTTTACAATCTGATTTTGTACTATTTTTAACTTATTGTCTAATTACTGCCTTTTTAATGACTACTTACTGTTGTACAACTTCCAGATTTGATTCTGTGCATACATGCTCACTTGATGTGAGACAAGGTACCCACCGCCAAGCTACCACAGAAATTATTGCTGAACTCATCAAACACAGATATGCGGATGCATCTAGAAAACCTTATGCTCCGAAAGATATTATTGTTGATTTAAATAGAGATTATGGTTTGACTATACCTTACAAGAAAGCTTGGCTTGCAAACAAGAAAGCTCAAGAAAAGTTGATGGGTTCAGATGAGCAATCATATCAATTGTTACCCTCCATGGCTTATGTTCTTAGAAAGAAACATCCTGGTTCATTGATTTTGTTAGATGTTGGGGCACATAATCGGTTTAAGTCTTTCTTCATGTCGTTGAATGCATGGATGGAAGGCTGGAAACATTGTGTTCCGGTTCTTATAATTGATGGCTCATTTATGAAAGCGTATTACAAGGGTACTCTATTGACTGCATGTGGTCAAGATTCTAACAACCAGATTTTCCCTTTGGCTTTTGGTGTGTGTGATACTGAGCGAAGGAAAACATGGACTTGGTTTTTTATGAAACTGAAGGAGTGTCTTGCACATAGGGAGGACATGTATATTGTTTCAGATCGTCACGATGGTATTATACATGCAGCAAAAGTGGTGTTTCCGCATGCTGAACACGGCTACTGTGCGTACCATATCCTAGGAAATATTAGATCAAAGTTCAAGGGGTCTACTACAGGTCTTGCATGGAAGTTTAATCAAGCTGCTAGGGCTGCCACTCCTGCTCAATTTGAAGAGTATATGGCTTTATTAGATGCAGAAGATCCCCGTATCCGTGATTATTTGAATGAAATAGGTGTTGAGAAATGGGCTCGCTGTTTTGCTCCTCGTTCTAGGTATTCTATAATGACATCTAACAACGCCGAGTCAGTGAATTCAGTGGACCGTGTGCCTCGTGAGTATCCTATAGCAAAATTGATAGACTTCTTGCGGGGAAGGATGCAAAAATGGTTTTGTGAACGTCGTGATTCTTCATCAAGTTGTAAAACAATTCTGTCTGACCATTTTGAATCTCAACTTCGTTCTTATCATGCCGAGGCAGCTCTTATGAGTGTAAGTCTCAACTACGTTCTTACCTTCTGCCTTTTATTGCATTCTTATCCTTTTATTCTTGTCATCTTTCTGCACTATTGTTTTAAGTGTAACTAATGTTAGCAAATTCTTTCTTGTTTTAGGTCAATCCTGCTAGTCAATATGAATTTGAAGTGGTGGACAAAACATCCAGAAGCTTTGTTGTTAATCTGAAAGACAAAACATGCTCATGTTGTGAATTTCAACTAGATCACTTTATATGTGTACATGGAGTTGCAGTTGTAGGTCATCATCGAGGTTTATCGTGCTATGTTTACATATCAAAGTTTTATTTCACACGTGAGTGGGTTGCTGCTTATATAGGGGAAGTTCACCCTCTTAGTTCTCGGTGTGATTGGGGTGTTCCTGCTTCTGTGGCATCTGAAATATGCAAGCCACCTACATGCCTCACACGCCAACTGGGTAGACCTAAGAAGAAGCGTATTCCTTCAATTGGAGAGTTTGGTTCCAGGCAGCGGTGTTCACGGTGTAAGAAAGGCGGCCATAATAAGAAGTCTTGCAGGAATCCTATCCCAGTCCGTGCTTCATAGTTTTATGTGCTTTTGTTTTTTTCCCTAAACAAGCAATAAATAATTGAAAGACATTTATGCTTTATTCATCACTATTGTTAGCTGCCACGATTTGTTGGCATTGTATTCTATGTTCATTGGAATAGTACTTTGGCGTTTCATTATAATTACTTTTTTTTTGAATCTTATGTTATTCATACTGACTTTATTGATTGGTAAAATGCAACCAAGTTGCTGCTGTGATGAAAATTATTGTCTACTTATGTACTACGTAATGTCTACACGAAGACCATAATTACACTCATTGTTAGTGAATCTTTAAAAGTGGCATCTGTAATTGTCTCTTCCGGTTTGTCTTTCTTCTTAACTAGTATGATTCAACTATCGTTATACACAAAAGTGAACAATAACACCAAGGAAGTTCACTATTGTGTTATTTTAAGCTTCTTCCTCACATGTTCAACAATCTTCATAGCTGGATGGTATTATGAGACATCATGATGCATATTCTTGAGTAAGATGTTTGAGAAATCAAATACTCAGAAAATAAATGTCATTGAAATTTATGACTTGAAGTTTTAATGTCTAGAACTCAAATATTAATGACTAATTAGTGTCCAATTATGGACTTTATGAAATACTTTAACTAGATTTCGCAAAACTTCACATTAAACACATGCTAAAAGCGAACAAGCATCACATATGGTGCTAAAAATGTAGATTACACATGGTCAACCCAACTGTCTTGAATACTTAGTAACAATACTTAATGACCAAAACAAAGAAATTTCAGAAATATATTTCTTCCCAACAAAATATTTATTACAAATCATCAAGTCCAACTACTGCCTTCATGATGCATACATCAGTAGCTCTGTCGTCATCTTTTGTCGGTACATCTCTATGTCTTGCTTCGAAACTTCACTCACATCTTTGTCCATCATGAGAAACTCAGCAAATTTGATAATAAAGACACCACAGTTGCCCCTGTAAATGCATAAGTATTTAATATGAAGTTAAACATTTATGATGTATTCAGATATGTGAAGAATAGTTAAATTATTACATGACGTACCCATCATCTTGTTGTGGACAATTACGGACTATATCTACACGAATTTTGCCCTTTCCAATTTGTGCATTCGGTCTTTTGTCATAAACTCCCAACCTCTCCATTACTCTTGGTAAGAAGGTCTCCAAGCAAGGAAGGAATACCCTAATCGTTGCCAAGGAATCTCCTCTTCTCTTTAGGGAGTCATAGACTCTGATACGTTTTCCATTAATGTCCAACACCAAGAGTATCCAGTGCATCCCTATGTTCAGTGGCATGTATACAAAGTCAGCTTCTGCCCATGGCAACCCATTTGACCCAAGCATTGTGTTCATTATGTTTCCATTAGAAGCTGCCTCAGTCATTGTTGTTTTGTCATTAGTGACCATTTCACACTTCAACTTCATCACCCCAATAAATAATGGGTCTGTTGTGGCATATTTTTGTTTGATTTGGTACTGTTTTCTTTTCACTCCTAGGTAATAAAATGCCACTGCAATATGCTGAAAAAAGTAACAAAATCGATTAATAAATTATTTTTATGCATCATATTATTATAATTTACATGTGACATATGTTGATATAAACTTACCATGTCAGACAACCAACGTTCATTTGTGAAGAGGTCATAAATCCATGTCTTTGTTGGTATGATGAAATGATCTAATTGTATACCAAACTTGCATTCAACTAGTTCTTCATGGTTTTTTTTGTACTTTTTGGGGACATTACTTGAATGGTTTTTTACCAGGCCCTCCTTCACAAATTCTTTTACCTTATCCAAGTCCTCTGTAGGTGGCATTTGCTTTGGGTCCTCACTGAATGGTCCTTCAAATGTACTCTTCTCAGAAACTTGTGTTTCATTCAATTTTTTTAATGCCTTTTCCATTTTCCTTTTCTTCATTTCTGTTGTGGGGTTAGGAGTGTATTTATCAGGACTCCTAGCAGCCCTTTTTGACCTTTTAATGACCTTATCTTCTTCTGCAATTTGAACTTTATGTTCAGCCTGTGCATTTACAACTTCCTCATCAGTTCAAAAATTCACTTTATCAATCATGCTGTCTATTCTACTTTCATTTTGAACTTTTGAAATTTAAAGTAACTACTTACCTTATCTTTAGAATTGTGAGCTTCCATGTTCTCTTGTTGTCCTTTCTCTTTATTTATTTCATCACGTTTATGTGATTCACTGTCTGCTTCAATGTTCTGTTCTTCATCTTGTTCAAGAGTTGCTGTTTCTTTTGAATCACCAGCATCAGCAGTCATTGCTTCATCTTCCTATAATAACGTAACAAAAATTGTCAAGTCAATCATTACATAAATAAATTTATTACACAAATAGCAATTACCTTTGTTTGCTTCAAGTCCTTAATGACACTATGAATGGCGTTGTCAACATGCATTTCCAACTCTTGTGTGTTTATGCTTGCTTGAGCAGGAGTGAGTATCATGCCATCTTCATAGATTGCTGAATTCTCTTTTTGGGCACATATGGGATTTGCATCCTCACTTCCAAGTTCTTTCTTATCCTCAATGCCTAGACCTTCAGCCATCTCACTGCCTATACCACCTTCTGCCTCCTCACTTCCTAGACCTTCTGCATCATCCTCACCGCCTAGACCAGCTTCATTATTTTCCATTGTTCTTTCCTTCTCTTTCTGTGTTAGATCCAGATGTACGTCAAAACTTGGTATATCTGAGACCAAAATTGATTTATCTATTCCTCCTGATGCTTCATGAATCTGCACATGGATTTCTTCTTCGCTCCTTTCACCTTCTGCATTTCCGGTGCTTTGAAGCATTGAAGCTTTCAGCATCTCTGCCTGCTGCTTTTGCCCTTTCAGAACTTCTTGTATTCCATCTTCTATTGTTTTCATTCTTCTCTCAAACTTTTGCATCTTCTTTGATTGGAGCACCACTGCAGCCATTATGTTACGCATGATTGTTGCATCTCTGCTTTGGTTGCCAGCAGTTTTTTTTCTTTTAATCAAACTATTTAACCTCTTTAATCCAATTGCAGTTGGACCCTTGGCAATTTGTTCCTTCAAGTCAGTATCTTCTTCATTAGGGCAATCAATCTGTGCTGCTTCAGACTCCTTTTCGTGAACATTCCCATTTTCTTCTTTACTCCCTTCCACAGAAACATTTCTTTTCTGTTTTGCTGGCCCATGTTTCAAAGTAAGACGACTTGTTCTGAGAGGCTTATTGACCTTGTTTGCATACAAAGCATTTATCAATGGATTCTTAAGCTCGTCTTCAGTTGGTGCCATTTTCTGATATTCAAACTGCAGTACATAAGAGAAATTATGCATACAATAAGTTAGTGCACATCATAAAGCATGAATTAAAATTACATATAATACAGACATTAAAAAGAAATTTACCTCTTCATTCAGAAATATGACATCTGCTAATGTTGCAACATTAGTTTTCTTTGGTGCAGACCACTTCAGCAATCTAGGAAACAAATCTTTCCTTTCTTCCTCTAACTGGCAAACATGTGTCGTTCTAAGAGCTGGGAAACTTTCAAATGCCCATATTTGCAATGCAAAGACAAAACCTGGAAATGTGAATCTGTCTTTTGTGGCCCTTTTAATATTTTCTGTCCACTTAGGCACTTTTTCCAATAAATCTTCCCAGATTTCATCTCCCCAAGGGTACTGGTTCACTAAATCAAGATTATCTACCATGTTGATGTAGATTGCTGGGCATTTCACTGTCTTTTGGTTTCCAATTATGTAATTGGAAATCAAGTCAAGAATAGCCAGTTTTACCCTATCTAAGGGCTGCTTCTCTACGGGTATATTATCGAACTCCTCAAAAGCTCTGCTTATGTCAGCCCTTGTAACATTACTTCTTCCATTGAAAAACCTTCTCCAAATGTCACCCATTACATTTGTCGGTATTATTGGTTTCTCTCCTCCCATCTTGAACCCCGTTATTAATGCCAGTTGTTCCTTTCTAAAAGCCACCAACCTATTTCCTATATTAAAGTAAATTCGGTCTTTCCAAGTCTTCTTGTTAACCTTTTTGGCATGGTTTTCTACCAGCAGAACAAGCAGTTGTCCATTCATCCACTCTAGGTTACCTATTCCCAGCCATCCACCAAATATGCTTTTTCTGAATTCTTCAAGTTGGTCCTCCTTTAATAGCTTCCTTATGGTTTCAATGGCAGTATGTACATTTGAATAACAGTTTAACTTTAACTTCTTCTTGGTCATAAGAACAGGGTTTGTGCAAGATCTAACAATTGCCTGACATTTTAGTATTAATAATTTCTATAAGTACTATAATCATAAGGCATAATTGCACAACAATACTCAATTTATAAATTTGAATTTACTGTCTTATAGCACAACTCATATATCGTGTAATCTAACATCAAATGCTTCATACCTTAAGTCATATGAAATAAATGATATGTTAATTGTTGAAAGCATGTATGGACAAAATCAAACAAGGTATAAAATATTTAGTATTTACTTGAACTGAAATACTGATTATTTACTTGAACTCAAATAACACATCTGACATCAACATTACTCTACGAACATTTGATTCATCATTTCAGATAAACATTACTTCTACTTTGTTTGTAAACAACATATGTCAATATAGTTGTTTACGAAATTTATATTACTTTTCTCAAATGAAGTCATTGAATACATTACCCGACCAAATGGAAGTATAAATTCTTTCTCCTTCTCCGTTTTGCTGGGACTTGGCATCTTTGTGTCGAAGTCGCTTTCAGAGTTTTCTTCGTTTTCTACATTTTCAACGTCTGCCTCATTGTCGGCTTTCTTTCTCTTTGCCATTACTGCCTAAATTTGCTTTCAGAGCTTTCGTTTGGTCGGAATGCTTTCCGTTGGTCGTCAAAACTTGCTCGCTGTTCGTCCGTAGTACGCCATTTGTGTAGTCGGTTGAAGCTTTCTGCAGATTTGGAGACGTTAAATGAAATGGGGCTTGCCGTTTCGAGTTGGGCTCGCGGTTTGTAGTCGGGCCTGCGGTTTGAAAGGAGTCCTCTGGTCCATTTGGGAATTTAAAAGTAAGGGTTAAATGGTCATATTAGCTCAACTTAAGTCCTACGTGTAGATGTAGTCCTATTTTTAGAAATTTCCTATGTTTATGTCCTATTTGTAAAATTTTCCCATATATATACTCGTAAATAAATAGGGCTTAGCGCATAAACATCATTTTGCCCTAGATTTTGGTCATGGATCCACCCATGACAGTTTTGTCACGAATTTGTTAAAGATATCACAGTTTACTCGATCAAATAGGTTTTGTCACGGACCGTCCCTCGACTAATTTTTTTTTTTAGAAAAATAAATTTTATTGATAAACGGAAAATAGTACAATGCGAAAAAGGAAAGAGGAAATGCATTACAAAAAAAACGAAAAAGTGAGAAAACTAGATCCAAAGCTAGTCCCATGGGAATTCTCTGGATTGAGATCTTGTGGTCATGCTATGACACCTTTTGTTCTTCTTATTTTTTCTGTAAATTTTTAATTGCGTGTTCAGGTTATCAGTTGGCAGATAGTTATATGAGTTTATGAAATTAGCCTTGCGGCAGACTTCCCTATTGAATTTGGACTTCCCAATTTCCCTATTGAATTTGGACCGTCCCTCCACTACTTCAATTACTTGTCATGTATTGTAGTATCTTTGGCAAATTTTTCATAAATCTTTTTACCATAAGTCATTTATCACGAGAAGTATATCCATGACAACCCATTGTATGGAGTATGTTCAATTCTTTGTCATGGATGATGTCCTGGCACATTCAGAAATTTTACCTTTATAATTTTAAAAAGGATATATATTGTGTCACATCTAGAACGTTGTGAATTCTGTGACAATAGAGTATTAGTTACACTAGTGGAAAAAAGACATTCTATGTCGGTTAAAATGCACTTTCTATAACGGTTGTGAACCGATATAGTATCAAAGGACATAGAAAGTCTGAGCATTTCCGTAACGGGTATAGGTAACCGACATGGAATGTTTTTATGTCGGGTATGGAAATTAACCGTTATAGAAAGCCTTCATATAATACTAACCTTTTATATCTGTTTGTTTACAACCGTTATGAAATGTCTTTGTTATTTAAAAAAAAAATACCAAAATACAAATCGATCTAATTAAAATGTATAAACGAAACGTGTTAGTACCCAATTTTAATAAGATTTTGATGATGCCACTATACTAAAAGTCAATATGTCCTGCGTTCTTACTTTAATTAAAGGTTGATCAGGCTCTCAAACTGTGACCAATTAAAATGTACAATTTTTGTACTAAATAAATTTTTACTGGAAAATTAAAATGCAATAAGGTATTCTTTTTACCTTAAAAGGACATTCAGATCCAACCAGTATAAATTTATTTAGTACATAAAATTATCAAGTCACATAATCAGCCAATCAAGAAATGACAAATTAATTCTGTACCAAATAAATTTTACTGGAAACTAAAAACTACAATAAGGTAAAATTTGTTTACCTTAGAAGGACACTTTGATCCTACCAGTACAAATTTATTTGGTACATAATAAAATAGAACGCGGCATACACACACACATACACTGCATGTGTATGATTGAAGACAAAGACAAGAAAAGCATTAAATGCTCAACAGTACGAAGACCAAAGAAGATGGGTCGCACACACCAAATCGTGAAGATTGAACATTGACTTGATCTTCTAGCTACTAATCAGTGAAGACAAAGGAAATTTCCAATATCAGCTCCAGCACAAGAGAACAAGAGTACACCTCATTCTACGAATAGGATTGAATCCTCTCAACCAACGGAAGAGATCAACCTACTGGAGAAGCCTATAAAAGAAGGCATAGGCATGAGTTCTAAAACCAAGTTTTTGAGTCTTCTAAGTAGAGTAATCACTCTAAGTATTCACGAGCTATCAAGCAAAAGAGAAAGTGCCAATTCAACTTTGCTCTCTGCTTAGACTCATGCTTCACTAAGCTCTAAGATTAGATTAACAACTGTCATATTTGAAGAGCTTAGTTCATAGTTGGAGGTTAGAACTTTCTTGCAATCACAAGTTGTTGTAAACACTTAGGAGAACGGTTGTTCAGATCCTAAAGTGCAGTTAGATAGAAAAGAGTACCTTTTGAACCCCACTGGTTCAATAGAGAAAAGTCTAAGGACTGAGTAACCTTGAGTGGTGCTATACTCATTGTGAAAAACCTTCAATCTAGGCCTAAGTGTTGTAAAGGCTGGATTGACACTAAGTGTATTGGGCTTAATACTTTAGTGAAATCCATCTGAGAGAGGGTGGGACTGGATGTAGGAGGATTACACCACCTCTGAACCAGGATACATCGTGTGTTGATTTTATGTTAAGTCAACAAAGCACACAACCAACACTTCTCACAAAAAGATTGGAGTTTGCCAGCAGCATCCTAAGCAGTTGCCTTAACAGACCCAACTGCTTATCCTACTGCTTAATTACTTACTTTCTTTGAGACCTTTTTCACACAAGAAACGTGCACAAATATCACTAAAAGGCCTATCAGGTCATTTTCAGAAATTCATTCTCAAGTATAGCAGGTGCCTCAGCAGTCCCCTGGTGTCCATCCAACTGCTGAGCCCTCTGCTCATAAACACTTGTTTTTCTTGAGCATCTCAATATCACTGGACCTTCATAACATTACCAACGAGGAAGTTGACCAAACTGCTCCGTGAAATTCATCCTCTAAACCAAGCAGGCACCTCAGCAGTGCCCTCATCACCAATCAACTGCTGAGACCACTGCTTCAGTAAAACTTCTGATTACATATACTAAAGCACATTTTCCGTAAGCCCTCACTATTCTTAAACAACATTTCATCATCATCTTCTTTAAACATCCAATATTTTCCCAGCAGTTGTCTCAGCAGTCTCCTGCATTTCAGCTAACTGCCAACTCAGCAGTTGCCTCAGCAGTCGCCTACCCATCATCCAACTGCCAAGCCTACTGCCCTTCCATAATTAGTCTAAACATCACCCAGACTAGAAAGTTATCTTACACTGTGTTGCTAGAGGTTAAAGACTTCCGCTGTGCATCTATTAATCTCCCAAAAGATTATAGATCAACTCATCTAGAAGGGAAAAGTTCTTAAAGACGAAAAAGCTATAAAAGTCTATTCACCCCCCCCCCCCCCCCTCTAGACTTTTACCTCTATCCGGGACCATCAAAACGGATTAATACGGAGTATATAAATTTATCCATAAGAGAATGAATTACTGCATGTATAGTGTATACAATTTAACATAAAATATCACGTCTGAGCAACTAGCCTAAACAATGCGCTTGACCACTTTATACATTTACCACTGCCTTTCTATGCAAGCCCACCATGGGCTATTTAATAAAAAAATCTATCTAGAAAATAACATTTTACCAACAAAAACTGCACCTAAATATTTAAGGACACCAACTTCACCAGGAACGAACATCCTTCATTTGTCGTTGCACCAATAAAACAGCAGACTTGCCCTAAAACCTTAGCAACCCAAGATCCAGTACCTTAACCATCATACGTAGTAAGAGAAAACTATGAGTTGAAAACACGAGGTGAAGTCAAAATTCAGAAATAATGCATGTGACATTTGCGCGAATTCATTTTCTATTGGCAAAAAATATACCTCTTTAGAAGTTTTTTTTGTGAGAATATACTTCTGTAGAAGTTGAAACATCTTTTTTAACAGATATTAACCCACTTCACTTTCATAGCGCTTTTTACCCTGCCATGGAAAGCTGAGGTAAGGAAAACATATTGAAAGACCTAATCAAATTCAAGAGGATTAAAATTCCAGATATGCTTAGAGATATACAGCTCTGAGCTAAGCGAGATGTGTGGTACATGTTTATGAGTCATGGGATCCTATACTTGTTGGCAAGGTCAAAGTTTATGCTATTAACCTCCTCAAGTAATTAATTAAACTATTAAATCTGCTACCAAGATCAAATAGCATACTAACCTTTTTCTAACTTCAACATCCAGTTGAAATCAAATGTTGAGTTGGAATAAATTTTAAATATATGAAACAACCTCGATAAGAATCACATAAACGAACAGAAACTATTCAAAACTTGTTCATCTTGGAAGGGGTGGGGGTGAAATGAGATGCTTTCAATGAGTGACATGCTATCTTGTTGATTCATTGGAAAAAACAGATGGATTGAACCCAAGATTGAATACTTTCCTTGTACACATCCTGAAAATTAAAGCATTGAATGTTAAAAAAAATGT